CAGGGACTGTGGGAGCCCCCCCCTTCTCCCCAAAACCCTGCCCTGAGCCCTCCTGCACCACGCAGGCAGCTCCGACACAGCAACCTGGTGCAGCTCCTGGGGGTGATCGTGGAGGAGAAGAGCGGCCTTTACATCGTCACCGAGTACATGGCCAAGGTGAGACCCCCACCCTGGGCACCTGCCCTCCTGCTCTGCCCCCTTTGCCCCCCCTCCCTGGCATCCTCCAAGGGTCCCAGGGCTTCACCCCGGCAGACCCAGCTGGGTCATCCCAGCTTGGGTGACATCTCCCTGGGGCCACCGTGGTGTTTGGAGGTGGCATCGCTGGCGCCGAGGGAGGGCCATCATCCCTGGGTCCTGCCCCACGTGGGAGGGGGTGACAGGTGGGATGCTGACCCTGGTGGCACCATTTCTCTCCATCCCTCCAGGGCAGCCTAGTAGACTACCTGCGGTCGCGCGGTCGGTCGGTCCTCGGTGCAGACTGCCTACTGAAGTTCTCCTTGTAAGTATGACAGCAAGGCACCAAGGGTTGGCCATGCCCACCACCCTGACCTGCACCCACTGGCATTTTGGGGCCACCTCACTAACCCCCTTCTCCCTCCCACCCCAACCAGAGATGTCTGTGAAGCCATGGAGTACCTGGAAGCCAACAACTTTGTCCACCGAGACCTGGCGGCGAGGAACGTCCTGGTCTCAGAGGACAACATCGCGAAGGTCAGCGATTTTGGGCTGACCAAAGAAGCCTCCTCCACGCAGGACACAGGGAAGTTGCCTGTGAAGTGGACGGCGCCAGAAGCACTTAGAGAAAAGGTGGGTGAGCGGAGGAGGGGTCCTGGGCTGCAGGGACATGGTGGAGGCTGGAGGAAGGGGGCACATCCCAGGCTGCCCCAAATTTTCCACGCAGAGATGCTGCTTGAGCCCCAGTTCCTGCTGTCTGACCCCCTCACACCCTGAGGGTGGAGAAGATCTGTTGCCCCCCATCTGTGCCTGAGCCCACTCACAGGGCCTCTCTTTTTCCCCCTGCCCCCACCCAGAAATTCTCCACCAAGTCGGACGTGTGGAGCTTCGGGATCCTCCTCTGGGAAATCTACTCCTTCGGGCGAGTGCCTTATCCGAGAATCGTAAGTGAGGACCATCCCCCTCCCCTCAGGGCTGGTTTTTGGGGGGACCCCACGCCCCTGCATCTGAAATCCATCCCCTGTACCCCCAGCCCCTGAAGGACGTGGTACCCCGTGTGGAGAAGGGCTATAAGATGGATGCTCCCGATGGCTGTCCTGCCGTCGTCTACGAGGTGATGAAGAAGTGCTGGACCCTGGACCCTGGCCACCGACCGT